GTAGGACAATCTAGCAGGTAACCGTAATGGACTGGTCCTCATTGTAGTGGTAGGCAATAGGCGAAGACAATAGGCGTAGTCCATGTACCTCCACATCAGTCTGTATTTATGGCTGACACCAGCCAATCATATTACTGAGGGGGAACCCAGATGTATGCATATTCATTACATTATTATTATATATATATATATATATATATATATATATATATATATATAGTTTATGAAAAACTAGGTAATCCGTATGGGTAAACCTAAGGAGGATAAAATCCAGAGAGCTCAATGTAAATTCAGAGCAAATAATTTAAATAAAAACAGACCACTTTAAGGTTCTATGTAATAAATTATTTCACCACATCCCTTTTAAAAGGACTGCGGATCATCAGACTTTACTTCCAAATAAAAAATGAAAAGAAAAATTTACACATTTTGACGGGCAGTATTAAACATATGTAAATGGGTGGGAAGTGAGGAAGTGAGTGGGGAGAGAGAAGACATGAGTGAGTTAGCAGACATTGACACATTTAAACGGTTAACTTAACGGAAGTTATATATTGATATCGAAGGGGTAGAGAAGAAAAAACCCATAAAGAGAAAAAGAGAGAAGTCATGAGAGAAGGTGTCACTAATTTTCTTTGTAAAAAAAAATAAAAAATAAAAAAAGGCTAGAAACAGATGCTATTATTTTGTTTTACTTTGAAAGTGTTATTTTGGGGGTTCATAAAGATTATAATGTTTGATATAAATTTGAATGTCTCTAAACTGTCTACAAATGATTTGATGTTTGTTAGTGATTTAAATTTTTTTTAAATTTTGGGGATTTTCTATGAAATAGTCGATTAGAAAAATATTCATAGAAAATACATTAAAAGAATAAAATTTTATTTTAAAATATAAGTTTACTTCTAGTAATCTTTTTTTTAATCTCTTTTAAAAATTTTATTATTGATTATTAAGTTGACATCTCTATCCATTTGAATTTTGTTCATGAATTTAACTTGTGACTGTTTCTAGATAGGTAATCTCTTTTACTTAAATTTTAGTTAAGTTAATATGGGGTAATATTTGAAGGTAATATTAAAGATCTTGCTCTGTCATATACTGTATACACACCCATGCAAATCTCACATATACACACGTGCCTTTACATGTTCAATCACTCATACAGGTACCCATGTACCAAAATACACAGGTAACTTCATGTATTAACATCCACCTAAATATCAAAAATTTTTCCAATTTAAATTTTTTATCATTAATAATGATTATTAAAGAGTAATATATTTCAATTTAAATTAAATTATCAATTTAAAAACTTTTCCTCTATATTATAAGGAATTTTAAACTCACACTTCCAACTGGAGAATATTAAATGAGAAAATGAGATAAAACATTAATAACAGGACTGTAAGTGCTTTTTTTATAATATTCTATATATCCATAAATATACATCTACACACATATCCGTACACATAGATGCATACATACATATCCATATATATACATATATCCACATATACACACACACATATATATATATATATATATATATATACTCATACATACACACATACACATGTAGATATACACACACACATACATACATATACATTTACATATACACACACATATGTATATATATATATATATATACATATACACATATATATACACACATATACACATACACACAAATATACATATATACACCTACATGTGCGTGCATGCAAAAAACATATCAAAATCCATACTTAATTACCTTATTATATCTATATTCTACCATATTATATATATGAACTCACAACTACTTATATTTATACATACATACATACACTATCTATAGAACAACATACATATACCCATCTATATATGCACACCCACACTCACACATACATATATAGAAATTATAAAAAATTGTATGCATACACATCCACACATATACATGTACCCACATACCCACACACACACATATATACACCCATACATACATATAACTACATATATAAAAAAAAGACACATCACCTATATACATACAAGTATATATACATACATATCCATATCCATACCCACCCACTCCAAAAATGTGCCCACAATACACAAAAATAACACATGCATGATTATCTTTCCACATAAACGCATATACATATACATATCAAAAGACGTATCAATGTTCAAGTTCAATTACATAGTTATATACATACAGTTATGTGTTCACACTTATGTGTGCATAGCAACATTTCCAAAAATGAAAAACCAAGATCATGTAATATCAGTCTTCCTATATAGTTATTTAGGTTGTTCTTATGTCAGCATTTAAAAATTAGTTCATTATGCATGTTTAGTAATAAATCCGGATCTTTATGTTTTATTATGAGGATTTTTTCTTTTAAGCATAAGTCGCATCTGTTTCTGAAATTTATTTATCTATATCTATCTATCTCTCTCTCTCTCTCTCTCTCTCTCTCTATATATATATATATATATATATATATATATATATAGATAATATTAGTGGAAAATATACATACATATGAAAATATATCTAAAAAATTCCCATACATGTATATTTTCAGAAAAAAATTTTCCAAGAGGAAGGATCCAGGTAGAACTCAATGTCTAGGACAGAGTATATATATATATATATATGCATTGTGTGTGTGTGTGTGTGTATTTATAAAAAACATTAATTTTGGGGGGAGCTTCTAAAAACATGTTATGTATGTAATGTTTATATACGTACACTGTATATGTTCCAAAGGTTGTCACAGCTAGCAGTGGTGGTGAAGCCAAGTTCTCACTGTCTATAAAATGCTCTCACAGCATACATCTCAAATAACCTTTGACAACAAGCTGGAGAAGGGGCAAGGGAAGCATGCCTTTGCAACTTCTCTGGCTCATAACCTGCTGCTTTGGGTAGACGGAGCTCATCTACACGGGGAAGTAGTTAATCTAGGGAAAAGAAAACCCTTTTTAACTTCCGTTGCCTTGTTGTCATATCTAAACATGGACCCAAAATGGCCCCTCTATTCCTTTGACTTTTGTTGGCATGGCCAAGAGGTGGGAGGCATATGGCCTGGGAAGTGCATGTCTTCATATACAGTCCCATCACTAAAGAACTGAATTTTGACCGAAGGCAGTACCTTTATACAAATGTATAAAGTTCAACCAAGGCCGGAACTTTTTTCTTGCAAGATAAAAGGATGACTACAAAGTATGTAGCTCTCTTTCTTGCTATATATATATATGTGTGAAAAGTGTGTGTATATAAATATAAATAAATATATATATGTATAATTATTTTATATATATCATGAAATACTTATTAGAAAGCGCTCAATATCAGAGATAGAACTAACATATTTGGTTGGATAGATGTGAGTTTTGTGACTCTGGGTTTCACACTTTAGCGATTGTCAGACAAACTGATTAATTTTTTAAAATTTTATAAACCTAAAATTTTTAAAAATTAATCAGTTTGTCTGACGATCGCTAAAGCATGAAACCCAGGGTCACAAACTCACATCTATCCAACCAAATATATATATATATATATATATATATATAGCAAGAAAGAGAGAGATAAGTAGATTATATATATATAGCATCCCGACTCCAGAATTTCATCATTGGACCCACCAGGGATCACCCTGTCCATTCGTCAGAAGGATATAAGCAATTGACTGCTTATACTTGTCGATTTTTCTTTTTTATATGCACTTTTCATTGGTGCAACTTTTTTTCATAGTGTATGTGTGTGTGTATGCACAAGCTCGCATTCACTTGTCTGCACACATATGTGTACGTGTAGAACACTGATTATTTTTTGTCATTTTTTCACTATATATATTTTTAATTTTTAAAATTTATTTTAAAATAAAGTGAGCAGACACAGGCTTAAATAAAAACCTCCAGCAACATGTTTGGTTTGGTTTGGTTTGGTTTATTTTGTTTTACGGCATATCAACCTCAATGGGTCATTTAATGCCGACAACATTTTTAGGATAGATTCGTATGAATAGAATATGTGTTCTTTGGTTTAGATTGGTTTGGTTTATTTTGTTTTACAGCATATCAACTTCAATGGGTTATTTAATGCTGACAACATTTTTAGGATAGATTCGTATGAATAGAATATGTATTCTTTTGTTTAGATTGGTTTGGTTTATTTTGTTTTATGGCATATCAATTTCAATGGGTCATTTAATGCCAACAAAATTTTTTATTGCTGGTAATATTTTGTTTTGTCAAAAATCTGTTTCTGGTAATATATTTCCTTCAAAATTGTATTGCTGGTAATACTTAACTATTTGCCCATAGCTGGGACCCTAACAGGTGCTACCACCCTAGGTCAGGGTGAACCTGGGAACACCAGCAATTAAGAGGTGGTTCCATGCTCCTCAAAACCTCCTGATCAGAGGCCTTGCTGCTGGACGTAGTTTAACGTCTTACCCAGGACGATCCAGCAACATGTGAAGTAGGTAATTAAATTTCTTAAGTAGGTAATTGAACCTTATTTTACCATGGTAGTTTCCCATGGCTTAATTGGTAATGCACACTATGGCTGATGGAGTGTTTTACCTGCTGGGAAAAGGAATATATCTTTGATTACTGATGGGAAGCACATTTTTCTTTAGTAGGACTAAAATGTTGGCTCATTAACAGTAATTTCATGCACTTATTAAAAAATAATATATATATATATATATATATATATATATATATATATATATATATATAATAAAAAAGGCTTAAACACTAATATTCCATGGTCATAATTTATTCCATTGGAATCATAAATATGATCCAATTCATCAGACCTACAAATTCAAAAAGAAAACAGAAAAAACAACTCCAGGAATAAAAAATAAAATTTAGTGAGAGTGTATATATGAGAGTGTGAGACGAATGTTAGAGTAAATGAAAGCTATAGGGAGGGGTAACATACGAGAGACGAACAGGAAGGTCTAAAGATGAAGGGGGGATTAAAATTTAACAGAGAG